TGTAGGAGATTAGAATATACTCGAAGACATGCAGTTATTACCATTATCCAACTTAAAACATTGTCATCACCCCAAGTAGCCCATTATAAGCCATTCTTCACTCTCCTCCCCAAGCTTCTAGTCCCCAGGAGCCTCCTTTCTCCCTCTGTGGGTTTGCTTGTTTTAGACATTTTATATAATGGAATCATACAATATACAGCTCTTTGTGACTGATTGATTTCACTTAGCATTAATTTGTTGTTGTTTGTTTTGAAATTTACTTTATATAATTCTGGAAGCTGGAAGTTTGCGATCCATCTGCTATCTAGTGTATGCCCTCCCATGGCTATTTCTGTTTCCAAGATTTGTCTATGTTGCAGCATGTGTCAGCACTTTACTCCTGTTCGTTGTCAAGCAATATTCTGCTATCTGGATATAGAAATTTTTTTATTCATTTGCCAGTTGACAGACATTTGAGTTGTTTCTAGTTTTTGGCTATTATGTGTAATGTTGCTGTGGACATTTGTGTACAGGTTGTTAGGTGGGTGTGTGTTTTGTCTGCTCCTGGGGAGGCACCTATGAGTGTAAGGGTTGGGTCGTAAGTTTAGCCTATGACTAATTCTGTTTAACCTTTTGAGGAACCTCCATGCTGTTTTCCAAAGTGTCTGTGCTATTCTTTAACCCTACAAGCAGTACATAAGGGTTGTAATTTTTCTACGTCCTTCACAATAATTATTATTGTCTTTTTATTTAAGGTAGCCTAATAGACATGAAGTAGTATGTTGTGATTTTTAAATGTTCATTTTTTATTACTAAGGATTCCTTCATCGGTTCATATGCTTATTGGTCACTGGTACATCTTTGGAAAACTGTCTATTTAGGTCCTTACTCCATTTTAAAAATTGGGCTGTCCTCTCATTAGCAATAAATATTGTGAAAATATCATTTCTAGCTTGTATATTGTTATCAGTGGCTATGATTTCAGAACAATGCTTAGGCAGGGATGATGGAAATGGATGTCTGCCTCTTCCACTGACAGCAGAAAAGCTGAGGTTTAGCATACCTTCCCCCTGGCCATGAGAGAACTAGTTAGTAGCGAGCTGCAGAGAGAAATGACTCTACATCAAAAACTAGAAAACAGATTTTTCCATGATTTACACAGCCACGGGTTGCTTAACAGCAGGAAAATGTTCTGAGAAATTTGTCTTAGGCAAGTTCCTTGTTGCGTGAACATCACAGAGTATACTTACATAACCTAGGATGGCCATGACGTCCCTAGGCTTATGTGACCACTATTATTTATGCAGTCCACTGTTGACCAAACTGCGGTTTATCATGTTCAGCTAAAGCTCCTTTCTTACTGAAAATAACCTTTTGGTTTTGATATACTAGGGGCACAGGAGTGGCATCTGGTAGATAAAGGAGCTGGGGACATGTCCTGAAGTTGCATTGAGTTCTATAAACATAGAAGTTCCCTGAAGATACTTACAGTCTTTTCATGAGTTATCTTTGAGCCCTAAAAGTGACAGCAAGTTTGTCTGGTGCATAATGACCTCTGCTGGGAGTTCATTCTGTTAGTATCCATCACAGTGGCTTTGAAGAGCTTTAGAAGAAAGAGATTTAATCTCTGGGCTTTCAATGTGGTTGTGAAATAAAGCCTTCTTTGATTGGAAACTTACTCTTCCTACTGAAGAAAAAAATAACCTTCCATTTTGCCTCATGAAATGAAGGTGGGAAATCCAGGGTGGCTTTCTGCCTGACACGTGACCAATGAGGAAGGAAAGCTGGGGTTTTTGTTGGTTATAAATTTCTACCTACTAGACAAAGTTGTACCTACTAGACAACACGGAACAGGAAAACAATGGATAATCACATAGGAGCATAGAAAGTATCATTGTTTAAATAACACACTTTGGTTTGTTAAGGCAATTAGTCCACACTGCTTGACTGTCATTGTCTTTTCTAACAAAAACATACATGATGAAACACATTTTATTGGTCTGCACTGCTTTCTGTCATTGTGTGATATACTTTTCTGATTTAAAAAACTGTATGCTCCTCATGATTATACTGTCATTGATTTTGATGAAAAAGGACATGTTCATTCATTAGGATATAAAATCATTCTTTCAAATAGACCTGTAGGCTACCATGGCAAACAGTGGAAAATTTTAATACCCACCCCTTTGGGGAATTGTTGATCATTTATTGCACTCCATGCTTAAAAATGAACCATCCTGTGGACCTGTTATATACATGGGCAGTGCAACTGAGCTAGTGGAAAAGAACAAACCTGAACTGCCTATGGTGTGAAGACACACACCTTTATGAATGTACCATTAATAAGACAGTATCTCATATATAGAAAATGCTCAAAAAATATTCACTGTATCTTCCTTACTCTGGCAGGCATGTGGACATTAAATTGCCGCAGAGAAATATTTTAACATGTAACAATGTGATTTCAAAGCATTTGAAGAATAAGTTTTCCTGTTAGGCAATCATCTTGGGGTTTCCATTAAGTTTTATGAGATCCAGCTTTTCTATTTCCTCAACAATAGTGCTATGCTTAGTGTCCAGTTACTTGGAAATATAGCTTCCTTTTATTTTTTTTTTCTTTGCTTTAGTTTACTACTTTAATGGAGTGTCCTCATTCCAAGTGAAAAATGCATTGATTTTGGGTGAGACAAATTATATAGAACAGTATTTTCTTAGCACCCCCGCCAAGTTTTCTAATAACTCCCATTTTTTCCCCAATATTCTGCCACCACTCAGGTTGTCTTTGGACTGGAGGATAGCACGAGAGTGCAGAGAAAAATCTTAGGAGGGTTAACTTACTATTTAAGGAATTGTAAATGTAGTACTTTTCTCATCTGGGCATGGTTTAGTTCCTTGAGGTTATAGGTTCTCAGGAGTACGGTGTTCTAGATTGCTGATACATAGTCACATGATTTGTAAACCAAAGTATCAGGTACCTACGCTATGAAAATGAAGGGTTGTCCTGGATGGGAGAACAGATTGTCTCTGCTCAGATCACAGAGCCAACTCCAAGCAGTGCCAGAATTCTCTGCAGTAAGATTTGTTGTTCTTGTCCAGCACAGAAACAATGGCTCAGTTAAGTCTCCGGAGTTCCAGTCCATAAAGAAAGGCAGAAACTATTCTGGCCAGGAAAATTTTCAGGGTAGTTGTTAATCAGTTTCTGGCTGTGGCTTTAGAAAAACCTACTGATGTTGAGCTACATAACGCCTTAGAAAATCCCTAAAGATGAGTAAAGCACAAAATGTATATTTGAATGGGATGACTTGTTCTGAAAAGAGACAAAAATCATTCCTTAGGAAAGAAAAATCATTTGCTCAAATCGGATCTCTTAGGCTACCACAGCAAATGGTGGAAAGTGTTTTAAAATCTGCATGCATCTCTATATAATACAGTACTGGTATCAGCCTAGTGAGTATCTTGTGACCCTGTACAGGTCACCTCTCCAGACCTCAGTTCCCTCATCTGTAAAGCAAATCACTGGACTAGATGCTTTCAGATCTCTTGGAGTTATTAATAGACCAACTGGATCTATATGAAATGGTGATTTCAATTTAAATTAGTAACTTTGAGCCATTTTATCTAACATAGTTGTACTTTGATACAGGACCTATTGTCTATAAAAGTTACCTTAAAATATTAATTTATATCATCGCAACATTGAAAGAGCATATACTATTCACTTCAAATTCTTCTTTGCAATTACATACGCAGAAAAATACTCTGTGATAGAAATGGGAGAGGCAATTTGGTCCTCTGACCTCTACTCTTTGCTAAGGGTCACTGATCCTGGGCCCTGTCTCCTGCTTTCACCAGACATCACAGCTTTCTCTGCAGGATGCGGAGGAGGAAGAGGGATGAGAAGATGAGGGGAAGGGAAGAGGGCCCCTTATTGGTAGTCAGTGAGGGCTTCAAGGGAGGCTCGACCCCGTAGGATCTCGGTCTTGAAAGGTCATGTAGTTGAGACAGTCACACTGGATGGCCGAGAGCCTTAGTCCCATCTCGTGTTCTACAGATGAGGGAACTGAATCTGGAGAGAGAGGTGACTTGTCCAGGGTCACACAGCTACTCATGGGATGGTACCAGTACTGCACGGTATAAAGACACATATAGATTTTAAAGGACATGCTTGTCAAATGTCACTAAGAGTGGTCCCTGTGAGACATGCTTGTCAAATGTCACTGAGGGTAGCCAATTCCCTTTTCACTGTGCCTTGAAAGAAAGAATGTGTAGATTATGTGACACAAACCAATGGCCTCTAAAATTAATTTTCCAAATGAGGAAACTAGCTCAAAAGAAAAATGACTGATCCAAAAACATCACTGCTCAGCTAATGACTGCATTATGCCTAAGACACAGATAATTTCTCTACTGTATAAAAAAATTGTTGGAGCTGGAGATTTAGCTCAGCGGCATAAGCGCCTGCTTTGTAAGCAGGCAGTCCTGAGTTCGATCCCCGGTACTGATAAAAAGGAAAAAGACAAAAAAAAATTGTTAATTGTATATGTGTATGGGATAGAGTATGGGAATTTGATACATGTATAATAATTTAATTAAGATAGTTAGAATTCCTATCTTAAATAACCAAAGAGTTGTATTTGCACATAATTATTCTATTTATTAGGTACAGTCTGATATTTCCCTTTTATCCAGAAAAATATTATATAGGCCTACACACCAGATAATGCATACTGGTATGAAGAAATCCAACATTAGAAATATGTTTGAGATGACATTTAATCTCAAAAGTTTTGAAGAAGTTATTTTATATTACTATGGTGACATCTTGATGTTCTCAACAGATGCCTTTTGGGTAATATAATATTTAGGTTATGTGGTATAAAGTAACTATAATATTTGTGAACAAGAGTTGAACTAGAAAAGTGAATTAAGAGAAAATTGTTTTCAATGAATGCCTGCGTACATAATTTAGAAAATATGCAAGGCAATTTGCAAATAATACATTTTAATAATTTGTTTTCCAGGACCAAGTTCAGGTTCAACATTAAAAAGTCCTGAACTGAATTTAAAAGGCACCCAGCACGTCTTGCAAGCAGGCCAGACACTCACTCTCAAATGCAGGTAAGAGGCTGTGTTCGTTTAGGAAAGATCTACTTGCTTTTCTCAAGGCAAAAATCCCTCATCCACTAGTAGAGTAGAAAGGACACCTTCCAGGTAGAGAGGTAGAGACCTGGGGGTCTGCTGGGATCTGATTCTGCAGCTACATGTATCCTGCTTCCCCACAAGGGTGATTCCCAAGGAAGAGGCAGCATTACCCCCCTTAGAGGACAGCTGGGAATGATGATGCACAAACATTTTTGTATCTTTAATGAGCATTAGCACACCCATGATTATACCAACACAGTTCATAAAGCTAAATCTAGGAAGCGGCCTGTATGTCTGTCAACAGATGAATGAAAAAAAGACCGTGGTATTTATGCATAATGGAGTACTATTGTGCCATAAAGGAGTATGAATTTGAGTAATTTGTGGTAAAATGTATGCAATTTAAGACCATAATGTTAAGTGAAATAAACCAGACTTACAAGTTTAAATACCACATAGTATATCTTACATAAGAGACCTAAAATATAAATTAAGAGCAAAATAAAAGATAGATAAAAAGAAGTAGGGAGATAAATTTTATTCAAAAGGGAAGGGATCAAGAGATGGGGGGAGGTGGAAAAGAAGGGGGAGGGGAAGGGAAGGAAAAAAGGTAAGATGTATATGTCCATGTACCCACTCCCCGCAAGGAAGCAATCATTATGCAATGTGAGCATGTGCTAATACAAATAAAAACTGGAAAAAAAGCAAAAAGACATATTTTCCCCCCCACGGAAAAAGGATGATGACCACACTTAAGAGAAAACCTCAAAATAATGTTTCCTACTGGCAAAATGGATGCTTAAGTACTGGTGCTAAGTTCTGGTGCTAAGTCCTTGTTTTGCTGTCTCCGCCTGCAGGACTGAAGCACCCCACTCGTGGACCTTTCCAAAAATTCTGCGTAAGGATAAACGGCTCAGCATAATTAAATCTGCCTGTGAAACAGACACCGAACAATTCTGTAGTACCTTGACCTTGAATTCAGCTCACGCAAACCAAACTGGCTTCTACAGCTGCAAATATCTGCCTTCCGCTGCTCCAAAAGGGAAGCAAACAGAATCTAAGATCTATGTATTTGTTAATGGTAAGATTTCTCTTTTCTATATCTATTTGCTGTACCTTGGTAGTGGATCATACATCAACCCCTGATCTTGTGGTAAGGTGGCTTTCCTAAGAAAGGCCAGGAAAGAGATTCCAATACAGTTGTACACATTTACAGAATGCATTTTTAATACATTTCTTGAGCATCAATTTCAACCACAAGTTTTAAAGACCCGGTCAGTAAATGCTAAGGGACAGATGCGTGCCTATTTGTTTTACCAGAGTACCCACAGTATCTAGAGTAGGGTCTGGTACACAGTGGGATAGTCAGTGAATGATAGGATATTAATTCTAATTCTAAATTATTGGAAAGCCCAAAATAGGATAGGAGACCTTGGTCCATTGACACAACTGCATTCTCTTATATGTTACAATCATAAAATATTGTTTTATTTTAGCACTTAGCATGTGCAAGAATGCTTCCTGTGTTTGAGGCCATGCTCACAATTATGTGTGCAGCACAATTTTTTTTGCTAAATTAGTATATAATATTGCTATAATTCCTAGCAGTTAGAAACTTGGTTCCCTCTGATAATAGTGTGTTGTTTCATGCTCATTAAGCAAGCACGGTGATGCTTTAAAACTTGACATACACCATTGTAGAGCAGAAAAGGCCAAAAGATAAAAATTAACCATTTTCATTATAATTTAATTCTTTCCTTAGAGAAGGAATACATGAAGTAATACTCAATAAGCACAAAATTCTTAAGAGACTATACACTGACACTAGAAATGGACCCCTGGGAAAAAATGAGAAAAATGGCTTATCATTTGTTCTTCCTGATTTAGTTTCAGTTTCCAAGACTTGTTGAGGGGGGCCTAGGGAATATAAAGCAAAATTAGTAGGGATTGAAAACAAGACAACCAGCTATCGGCATGAATAAAGGTCTCTACCCTGGGTCCACCTCCTGGTACGCTCAGGAACAAGGTCTTTGCAGTGGAGGTAGTACAGTAGCTTTAACATTTTGGTGCAATTCTTTTTTAAATTTTGAAGTAAGACTAGTAGCCAATCTTCTAAATGAGCATAATATGTCATTCTCCAGGTTCACAGTTAGTCTAGCAGCAGTAATACATAATACTACTGTCAGCTATTGTCAGCTTGATTTTTTTTTCTTGTATCTGAACTTGAACTCAGGGCCTTTTCACAGAGCTGCATCCCGTTTTGTTTGTTTATTAGACAGAATCTTAGTCCCTAAGTTACTTATGCCAAGCTCAATCTTACAATCCTTAGCCACCCAGACTGCTGGACTTGGAGGTGTACACCAGCATACCTGGCTTGTCAGTCTGATTTGACTGAGCCCCTGTTTTATGTGGTTTTTGTTTGGTTTGGTTTGGTACTGGGGATCGAGCTCATGACTTCACGCCTAACAGGTGCTGTGCTATGTCCCCAGCCCCCAAGCCACTTTTATGTCCCTTCTCCTCAAGCTCTGTTCTGACAGGGGTGGCTAACAGCAGGGACTAAATGCCCAGCAGTCTGTTGTCACATGGATACATCAGCTCTTTCCAGGGAAAAGTCAGCGGCAGGCTGGGAAATTGTGAGCAGGAAGTTAGTCCACTTCCACAGGAGGGAAGAGAGCATGGAAAACAGAAAGTAGGCCAGAGTGGAGCGGGTGCAGAATTATGAACAGAGACTTTGAGAGAGACGATTTTGCAGCCCAAGGGGAAAGAAGATACAATGCATGATAGTGATGAGAGAAAAAATAATGTACCCAGCCATTTGTTCTCTTTCTAGTACCAAAGCATCTTACGTTCTTCCAGCACATGGAGAAAAGAAGGCACTTTGCAATGGGTCCTAGAGGCTTCCTGTTTCTCTGAGGAATGGGGGAACAAAACATTCATACCAACATTCTCCTAAACCTTTCTCCGTCATTTATAAGTCCAACTTGCAAACAGGCACTTACATGAATCAAAGAAATCATCTTTTTTTCCCTAAGAAACAATGTTCGCTTCTTTTTCCATTTAATATCCCAGGATTATGGACCCAGTAAGTAGAGATTAGAGTCTACTCCTACCAATCCTCTTTTACAATAGAAGAGAAACTTAGCTATTTAAAATTATTTCCGTTTCACCTACACAGAGAAAATTTGGCAAACAACCATTACTCTGGGTGTCAGATCAGTTGTTCATCTAATTTCAAGAGGGCAAGAAAGTTTCATATCTCTTGATTACTTTTATCTGCAACATGCCTCCCCAGGGCAGTGTCTGGCACGCAGCAAAATTTCACTAGTTGCTAAATGAATAAATGAATTGGCTAACAAGTGATCTGTGGGATACATTGTTTAAACCATTATTAACATAAACTCTAGAGTTAGTGGGAAAGAGAGACAGGATCGATTACTGATGTCTGATGTGGGTTTGGGACTATTGTTGGTCCTTGTGCTATGAATTTGTCATGTCTGCTCTGCTAACATAGCATAAAGTTATAAGTCCCAATATTCCTGCATAATTTGTTAGACACCAGAAAATTACCTATTTCAAAGATTGTTCTAGGAAAAGGAAGAATTGTGAAATGCTTTGTACTTCAGGGTTTATTATGACACACAATATTTATGTTCAAATGAATATTCTATGAGTTCATTGGAAAAATAGGACGTATACTGGGGCTGATTATTTTTGAATAGTACAAACAGCAAGAGGTATTTGAGATGATAGTAATAGTTACAGGAAAGCATCGTGAATCTTGTTTGCTAATTAAATTTCACCGTCTGATTTTTAGGGATCACTTGCCCTGTGCCTGTAACTGCCCTACTATGTAAAGCAAGGCCTATCTTGTTGTCTTTTTCCTGGCAGTTGTCATTAGTCTTACTTTATTAAAGTCCAGAATGGCTGTGATATGATCCACTAAACAATTAGAATTTTTTCTAATAGACTAACATGTTATGTATTGTTGTTTTCATGATTTTACTCTCTGAGAAAATTTGGTCTTCTGCTTCCATTTTTAGTGAACATTCTCATGATAGGTTTATTTTAGTTTGGGGGCCCAATACCTGTCTCTGGTAACTCAGAGGATTGTCTGTGAGATTAATAAAACTCCAAACATTTCCTATTACATGACTGTAATCACTCACTAGATATTAACTCACTATGACTTATTTACTGTTGAATATTTACTTCAGAACATGTTAGTCTCTTTGATGATTTCTAACCTTGATAAACATGAGCAGATATGCTGGCATTTCATTTTCGTTTTCTATAAAGAAACTGTATGACAAACTCTGTTTAGATATCTTTTGAAAAGGCAGATTTCTGGTCTATTCTTTTGTCTGCATATCAGCAAATCCGTGTGCATTATGAATAAACTAGTAATTAGACATTATTGATTGCTGCTGCATAAGACACAGTTTCACATAGGCACTGATTTGCATATTAGCATCCAATATCTAGTATATAGAAAAAATAATATGGCCACTTTATCACCACAGCTTGTATAAATCTTCCAAATCTAGTACAATGCATTAAATAATTTTAATTACTAAAGTAATTATATTTAACTACTTTAGTTAGTTACTCAATTGTCTGGCAAATTACATTTCCCATTAATATGATTTCTTACATTTGTCATGTTATTCTTTACTTAAACAAATGGTTTTGTTTATATTATGCCACTTAAGCCTTCCCACAGTGCAGTGAAGTATTGCTCTTTTCATTCTTCTCAAATGAAGGCCTGAGAATCTACTTTCCAACAAGACTCTGTAGAGGGCATGGGAAATGCAGAAATCTGTTTAGTGGGAAAAAGCACAGGTGGTCTCGGTGGTGGGAGCGGGGAAGGGACAGGAAGTCTGCTGTGTGCACCAAGGCAAGAGAGGGGTGACCCCAGCCCACCACAGTGGTGGTGAAGGAGCTGGTGGATTTCAGGGATTCCTTCAGCCCCGGGGTTAGATGGCTGGTGGGTGGGGGGAGCAAAGAACCAGAGTGGATTCAAATTCCACAAGGAACAATAAGGCAGCTCGTGCCCAGTCCTCTAGCCACGTGGTCCTCTGTTCCACTCAATTGCTTTCAGGTCCAATGGCATCATCGCCATTGTCATCACCCCAGATGCACCTTGGTGTAGTCTGTGCACTTGGCTTTTGAATTAGAATAACTGAAAAACTATTAGTAAAGCTTTAAAATTTGAGATCATAGAAAACTGCAATATAACTCCTAATTTGTTGCTAATTTTAAAAGATTTCTAGAAGAATAATAATGTTAGGGCTGGCTAGCTAGCCCCTCTAGAGAAAAAATAACACTTTCATACTTGTTTTTGATGCTCTGGTATGCACAAGAAATTGACTATAGGCCAGCCTTTTCTAAAAGTTGGAGGATTGCATTAAAATTATTATAATGTATGAATTGTGACTGAAAAGTATGAAAAGTGACTGAAGAGTTTTTACACAGCCTCTCCAGTGTATTTAATATTTTGTCAATATCTTCAGTTTAGTTAGCAAAACTTTGAACTCAGCAAGTTAAGTTTCCTACACTGTAAAATTAGATTGCATTCCTTCTTTCTCCAGCCCCAAACCTATAGGAACTACCTCAATAGAAGTCTTCACTTTAAAGGCTATAATTAGAAAGTGAAAAAACTGGGGGAGGGGGAGGGCTGGGTGAGTATCTCTTGCTTTTTCCTGTAGAAAGAAACTTATCTTTTTTCCTTCTCTTTTCTCGGTTGTTCTTCTTTCTGAGTCTGTTAAAGGAAATAGGTTGGAGTGTTTTAAAAATATTGTTTTTTCCACTGCTTTTTCATGTGCGTAGAATGATGAGATCTGCATTCACAGAGCTAGAAAAATTAGCAGACATATTGGGTCTATAACCAAAAACTAGTAGGGTTTCTAACAGTACACGTATTCTGCAGAAGAAGAACTATGCATTTATTTACATAAATATGTTTAGTAGGAAAAACCTCTAATGGAGCCTGAGCAAGTAATAATCCTAACCCCGTAGATGTTCTGAGGATTCTGTATACACATCTGTACACTTGAGGTTTTCTTTTTCTTTTCCAGTCATATT